CCGGAGGGGCCCAGGCCAACGGCGGCTACCTGGAAGTTGGAGATGGGTGGGCGAGCGAGGGACTGGGCGGCGGGGACCAGCCTGGGGAGGAGTTCCGGTAGTGTGATGGCGTTGGACTCGGCGAGAGCGAGGGCTTCCGATGCCTGGATTACGAATTTGGGTGGTTGATCCATTGGATTGGGAATTGCAGAAGAGTGTTAGTTATTTATAGAGAGAGTGTGAGAGTGGATTGGATCTGGCGAACAATGATCGTATTTATAGAGATGTGCGATGCCATTCAGATCCTTTTGCTACCGACAAGGGGGTAACCATCACTCTTCTCGCTTCCCTCCACCCATCACACCTCATTCACAACAGGGTTAGATTCGGTATTTACTTATTACTTTACTCTCACCCGTCACCGTTGACCACATTATTCATTTATTTTTTTTACATAAAATATTATTTCAATATATAGGCAATTGATAAAAGTTAAATGCTAATGATCGTAAAATTGGCATTAATATTGGAATTTAGGGTTTATAGGTTATATTAATCGTTTGTCTCATAAATCATTTTAAAAAGTAATTAGGTCATGAACTTGAAGAACTCAATAAGCCTTAGAGTAATTTTATGGTAGCTTTGAAATTAGGAAAAATAAAATATTTGCAGTAATCATTAAGATCATATGTTGTGTCTGTGCATAATTAAAAATAGTTCAAGACATAATTGTGTTTGTGTATTAATTAATAACATATTGTAAAGATTTTTTTTCTCATGTGAGATTATTATGAGTGTAATGTGTTGAAAACATTGTCAATTATTAAAAAAACATGACAGATATAATTTTTAATAGTTAATACATTTATTATGAATGATCGTTCTTAGGACTGGTTGTTTGTCTAGGTTAGCATTTCTATTTTTAACAATTAAAAATTAACATTAATAAAAACTGATTATTTTTAAAGTAGAAGAAAAGCTAAACTTAGATTAATATTGTAAATTTTCAATAATTATACATAATCTCCCTGACTGAGATAATAGAAATGTTAATAAACTGGGTTGAGGTTAAAATAATGGTTTCAATAATTCTCCAATTTTAGTATTCTTTTCTATTTGTACTTTTTCAGATTGCTTAGTTAAATTTTAGTCACTGTAATACATGGCGTGTTGAATTTTGCTTGTATGGTTGAAAATGGCAATTTCCAAAGTGTTTGATGATATCATTAGTGACATATTTATCATGATTAAAAAATTTCCTACTTATAGAAATTTAAATAAAAAATCATATATTTTTTTTTCAAAAGGTGCATGTCTAAATACTTTGAAAAGTTATACATTAAATGACTTATATCAACTTCTTTTTTTCACAATGTTTTACTAGTTTCTTCTCCATAAAGTCACATAAAGTAAAATAAGGTAACAAGTTGAAGATTGTAGGTCAGTTCAGTTATAAGAAGTTCCTGAATTTTGATAATTATAAGAAACATCCCGTCTACATATTTTTAACTTTTATTTTTTTTTTCTTTAAGAAAAGAAGACTCTGTTTTATTTTCACACACAATAAATTTTACTATTTAATTTTAAGGTATATTTCTAACCATCAAAAATGGACATTAATAGAGATTGGTAATTTTTTAAATAGAAAAATATTATATTTAATTTATTATTCTAAACTTCCAACAGTAAAAAATATTATTGTTTAATAAATAAAAATTCTAGTAAATTATGTTAATATTAAAAATAACTACTTTAAATACTTTTAAAGGAACTATTAAATTAACACAAATATATTAAACATAATATTCAGTAATTATTGATTTTAATGAAACATTATAATTCTTTTTATAAACTCGTGATTATAATATTTTGCTCTTTCTTAAAGACAATTTTTAGAGTATTTATTAGTGTTTTTTTAATTAATTATAAACATATACAGAGGGGGCTAGTGCTGAGCTTTCCCGCTGAAAGTTTTCTTTGCATGTATAATAATATATAATATAAACAATAATTTATATTTTAAAATTAAATTATGATATTTTTATAATAAATTAAAATGTATATTTAATATACTTATCTTAAAGCTATGCCTTCAGAAAATTTATAAAATTTGTTCATACATATTTTTGTTTGATAAAATTGGCCATTCCATAAATTTATTTCCCGTTTCATCATGAATATAAAATTTTGATTTTAGTTTTGATTTTGAAAAAGATATTATTATTTTTTTAGTTAGCTCCACTAATAAAATACATTTAATTTTAGTTACTATAGATATACTAGTTTTATGTTTAATCTTTAGTTACTGGTATATTTTTATATGATATTTTTTAAAAATGGTGCAAAATAGATACTAAGTAAGGGTGAGAGGAGAGTAGAAAAAGACGAGGAAAATGAAGGAAGATGGATAGAGAGGAAAAAACAAAAACAAAAAATCTAGAGAATTTTAAGATAAAGATGAAACAGATTTTGGTACGTGATATTTTTAAATAATATTAATGTTAATTTAAAAAAATATTTAAATTGATTTAATTTAGTAGATATTGGAAGTCAATAAATAAAATAATAATAAAAATCAATATAAATAATCAAGCTAAATATAAAATCAAAATTAGTTAAATATAAAATTAAGGTTAAATTCTTTTATTGGATTTATTTTTGTAGTGAAATCCTAAATCATTTATTTTATTATTATTTTTTGTCTAATTTTGTCTTTAATTTTAAAAAATTGATGCAATTTAGTTTTTGCCGTTAAATTTGAAGATTTCCTAATTATTTGACCATAATTCAGTAGATTTCTAAAGTTAAAGTTTTGCAAAGATTCAATGATAGTTTACAAAAAGATGAAAATCGAAAGTTTAAAATAAGAGGTAATAATTTTATTAAATGAGCCATAATTTCAGTAATTATTTCTTAATTTCTAAACTTCCTCAATGAATGCATTCCTAATTTTTTTTTATCAAATATTCACTAATTTTTTATTTCTAAAAAATCAAATTTAACATCACATACTTTTTTATTAAACTACATCATTTTAAAACTCCATAATAACATGTCTAGATTTATTTAAAGTTGTTTAGTCAATTTAATAACAAATATTATATTGCATTAAAATTTTCAAATTAAGAACTAAATTAAAACAAAAATTAATAAAGAAACCAATTTGCGATTTTGCTATAAAAAACTAAAGAGAGGAATAAAATGATTTAACCTAAAATTAATCTTTACTGCTATTTTTCACTCCATGTTCAACGTAGAAAGAATTGAGAACTGAGAGACTAGGGACTTTATGTTATATCACTTTATTAAATAAACAATGATAAAAAAACAATTAAGGAACACATTCTGAATTATGTGAACCCGTGAAACTCTACTATATTCATGGATGAAAATGAAAGCAAAAAGACACAAAAAAGTTTACAATAAAATAATAACACAACAAATTCTAATAAAATAAGATTGGTTTAGTCAAAACCACCCATTATCAAGAAGGATATATTACAAATAAAAATAAAGAATAACTTTGGTAAACTATAGAAAAATATCAAAACAGTTTTTTAAAAAATAATAAATTTTAAAAATAAATAATTAGATGCTAAAAAGTCTAGTTTATACATTTAAATGTAACTTAAAAGTTTTATCCTATATCTTTTCAAAATTATTTCATTAAACAAGAAAAACCGCATATTCATGCAGTGTTTTTATCCTTACAATATAAGAAGTCTAATGTATTAATTTAAGTAAAAGTATTATTGAAAGGATAATATGTCACTGACAAGCCAAGCCTAAGCTATATAGAGATGCATTTACTTGTAATAAAGTGGGAGCTCACATTCAGTTTAATGTGTGTTTTTTCTGGTTATCTCAATATCTTGTCATGCGAATTAAATGTTTTTTAAAGTATTTTTTATTACTCTAAAAAATTATAAATTAGGTTCAATTTTTTAAATTTCTTTGAGGACTCGCCCGATCATTTTACATCAAAGACAGCTTTTTAACATGTAACAACAGAGACTACTTTTTTTTATATGAATATAAAATTACAACAAATTAATGAAAATAATGTCAGTATTACATTAGTCCTTGCAATATTGTGTTTTCTTTTCATTGAGTTCAAACATATTGAAAAAATATTTGCTAAAAAGTTAATTTCATTTTTCCACATTAAAAAGATGAACGAAACTATCTTAATTAGTCAAACACAAACATTAAACAACATGAACTGAACAATTAATTTAGCTCAAAGACCAATGAATCTCCAAAATCACAGCGTATTTATTATTCATGAATTAAATAACTTAGTTACCCACAGCAGTGGATTTGAGCCCACAGGCCAATAATAATTCTTCACTGTACTAATTAAATAGTCATATTCGTGATTTCACATTATTGGGTTCATACTATACAATCTAAAACTGACAATTCGTGTTTGAGACTTTGACGTAGATTTGGTTTTCACATTAGCACTTGAAGTTTAATGTATATATAAAAATTTGTTGGTGCTAGGAAAACCAAATTTAGTCTTTATTTTTCTAAATAAATTTTGAATTCAAATCTTCAAATCTTCTAGATAAAAAAAACATAATTAAAGAGAATACTTCTTTTAAAGATAGTCAGAGAAAAAAATAATAAATTGGTGTATATATACATACATATAGAAGTCAATTTAGTAGGATTGCAAGTCAAGCTCTAAAGTCCCTACTTTATTAGTATGTTACAAAACTTCTCTACTTTGGGCATTTATAATATATTTTAAAACAATTTTTTTTTTTAATTTTTTATATTAATGGTGAAATTTTTTGCATTTCTCCTAAATTGAGTTCCCTTGTCTGGTTTCATGGATTATAGTACCAAACATCGAAAAAAAACTGGGTCCTACGAAAAAAATACGCAAGCGTCCATTCATAGATCTAAGAGCATCAAATTCAAAAGCACTTTTACAATCGGTGGTGCCGGTCTCTTACATTTTGTACTTATCTAATTAAGTGTTTAAAAAAGTGATTATCAAGATTCTGAACAGCAGCATGAAATACCAAAGTTTATTTAAAACAAAAATGTACAATAACAACTCAATATATATTTCATCTAATCATACACTCAGAGAAAGTATAGGTAGAATATTCTATTCTCTGTTTTCCCTGAGCAACGAGACCCGTGTTACTTCCAATATGTACACTAAAGACAAAGACTTTAACGAAGTTACAGGGACAAGAAAGAACGATAACCAAAAAAACAAAAACTTACGTAAAGAACTTCCGAGTATTGAGAGTAAATAGGATCAAACCCAACCCTGTTTGTAACGGGTGAAGAGGTCTTCTGTTTGTGCATTCCTGAAGGCGCTGCAAGCAATGACATAGACCCATATGAGGACCACCACTGCTACTATGAGAACGATGTTAGCTTTCCTCCATTCTTTTCTGAGGTTACCCAATAGACCAGCCTTGCACGCATTACAATCGTAGCATAGTTGATTTTGATCATTGTTCCACGAGTAGCAATCAGGATCAGCTGTGGGATTCACAGGGTTTGTCCAAAGTATGGGGCTTACAAAGCTGTAACCACAAACTGTAGGAGGTTTGCAACATCCTGACTGTAAAATCAATCAAACCAATTCATTACCACAATTTTAATTATACAATAATTTCTGTTCTGTATTAATATAAATGGTAAGAGCACAATAGAAAATCATGTCAACATGCTGACTGAGCAATATAAGAGTGTCACATTACTATTTATGCTAAATATTAAATGCTAAGTTAAAAAATAGAACTGAAATTACACATCCGAATGTTCAAAATGAAAATACACAGAAGTACAGTTAAATTTAATAAAAGATGGAACTGGGAGTCTTAGACAGAAAAAGAGAAGAGGGGTGACTAGCTACCAAACCACACCACCAAGCAGCAGGCAACAATAATATAACTTTATCTTCTTGTGCTATAACGACAAAACAATGATCTTGACTTTCTTGGATGATTAATTTAATATGGCCAAATTTTGCATTATTTCTCTACATGTGAATCAATGAGTGACAATTTCAGCTGCATTCAACTTTCCGGGGATCAATTATACCGGAAAGGCCCCACAAAGCACCAATGTGCTGTCACTCACGCTGGTAATAAAAGATGTCTCTAATGTCTTCTAAAGAGGCATTCTCATCTTGCTGATTTTGTGACATCGAAAGTTACGTAAAATGGACATATATGGTGGTTAGATTTATATGAACCCCGTGTTCTGCTGGTGTTAACATCAAATTTTGCAGTAAAACTTAATCCACACCCTACTAGTGGGTCAAGCTAGGATTAAGAAGGAAAATTCATATGATACATGAAGTTTATCACTAAACAAAACTATAACAATTAGTTCCACAATTTAAAACTCAAAGCATGTTAAGATCATAGCTCCAGCAGAGTTTGAACACAATCCATGCTAATTGAGAATCTCCACCGGTTTCATCTAAAAACCGATGGTTACTATCATTTCCCAACCACCTTGATAATCGAGTAACTTCGCAACTAATCCTTGGGACACAGTATACGGGTACGAAAGGAAGGTCACGGTGATCTTATCAGAACCGTATACATGGAAGACTAAGAAAAGCTCATAGATCCAATCCACATCCCTAGAAAGAAGAAAAATAGTTCCCAAATTCAGCCATTTGAAAATCTTGTTGAAGACACAACGTGGTGTCATGTGATGTGGGTCCAGCAACAACAATTGAGGAACAAAAAAAGTACTTTAAGAAGCAATATTTCTACGCAAGTTAAATCTTGCTTGTTTCCAAGAAATCACTTGTTAAATTTGTACTTTTGAGTGTTTCAATGCCGGGGAGAGTACAAAAGGAAAAGTAAATTCGCAGGTAAAAATGTCTTGAGAAGATTTTATTTTTTGGTTAAATTTAGTTGCTGAATTCTAAGAAAAACTTAGTTGATACTATTTTAGAATCTAAGTACTTGGAAGGAACTCAATGATAAGAGTAAACCGATTAGGTGAAAATTATGGAGGTGTATGTAAAAGCATTAGGAAGGAACCTGCAAGGGGGAGATGTGAGAAGCGAAGAATTGATCGGCGGTGATGTAATTGAGCGTGAGCCTAGTGCAGACATCGGAAGCAGCCAAACAGGGCTTTATCTTGTGCCAGCTGCCGGAGCCGGTGACGCGGTTCCTGAACCAGGAAGAAAAGCCGCTGAGGTTGTACTCCTTGTAGGCTTTTCCGGGAACATCGTAGGCTCCGTCGGGTCTGGTGACGACGAAGGCGAAGACGAGAAGGATGAGGAGGAGGGCGATGAGGAGAGCCATGGAGAAGAGGTAAAGGGCGAGGAGGCCCTGTTTGTTCCAGTAGGCACCGACAAAGCCCGCGAGGGAGACGAGGAGGATGAGGAGGCCCATTATGAGAATGGGCCAGCGGAAGTTGGCGACGCACTCGTTGTCGGGCTTTGAGGCGAGCCAAATGCCGGAGGCTATGATGGGAATTGAGCATATGATGGCCACAAAGTTAAGAACTGCGGTGATGTTGTTGCTCACACCCATTATTCCAATCCTCTCTCACTCTGCTATGCTTCTTCAACTGTATTCAGTGTAGTTAATCACTTATCTGTATTTGTTTTACTTTTTGTTCGCAGGTTATCTCTCGTAGGGTCCCACTGGGGAAATTATAATGGGATATGAGATTTTCCTTCACACAATCAAATATCTCAGTTTAAAGAACTTACTCCCTTTCTCACGCAATCACACTTTATTCTTTGAGAAAAATAATGTTTTGACACCCGTTCCAAATATTACTCTCATTTTAATAATATAATAATATATATTAACATTTTAAGCTAAAAAATTAAATAAATATAATTAAAACATTATTATTTTGAGTTGTTAAATGTATACATTTTTTTGTATTAATTACTTATTTGGTCACCTAGTCCATTTTTTTCAATAGGTTTTCATTTTTTTTATTATTTTCAATTTAGTCTATATTTTTTATTTAATTTAATCTTTTCTCGTAACATTATCTAAATTATTAACGAAAGAGTGTATGTAGTGAAAGTATTTGAATGAGCTAAGCGGTTTTTGCTTACGTGGTCTGGGTGAGTTGCAAAATATCATGGTCCACTACCATCGCGAGACAAAAACATATCTATACCAGAATCATAGATCTATCTTTGAATAGCCATGCACCTCTCGTATCTTCTTTATCGCACCACCATAAAATATGAATCCACTTCAAGCATGCACCAATTTTCGACCTTCATTGTTAACACAAAATCAACAATTCCTTGTGCACACAAAATCTCTAAACCTGCATCCAATTTTTTTTCAACCCCTTCCCCAATCAAATTAATTTTCCAATAATTCACACACAGAAATCATCACTTTTCAATTCCTTTCCATTATCAACAATCATCTGACTCACACATATTTCATTCACCAATTTGTACTTTCGGTCTCCATTCCTTCACCCATTCCATTTTTCATCTTCACAATGCAATCATTTTTCACCGTTACAGATTTAATTCTTCTTCTTCTTTCATAATCCATTTTTCACAATAAATTGAAAATCTTTTTGGAGTTGTTGTGCTTATCTCTATAGTTGTCGATGTCTCTGACAACTATGAGTTCATGAAACTTAAATGTTTATGAATAAGAAGAGAATGGTCATGTCACAACATACACTTTAGATAAAATATTGTTAGGTCATAGAAATTATCCACTTTTTACACTTTTTTGTTAACAATTTATATGATATCATGAAAAAAAATCAAATTGAATAAAATTTACTAAAATATGAACCAAAACGCATAAAAATAAGTTAGTTTTAAATTCTTTTATTTTTTTCCAATATAAAAATAAGTTAATTCATCCATAATCAAATTTAAATCTTTTTAAGATTAACCGAGAATTATGTTAATTTTAATCCACAATTAGTATTTTTTTATTTTTTTAACCCAATTCCATTTAAACCCATAATAAGAAAAATTAACTTACAAATTATTACCTATTATCATACCTTTAATTTTTGTGTGTTGAAATACTAATATCTAGGTATAGTTTTTGGTCTATAGGTTTTTTCAATCATGAAAGTATCATTTTAAGATGGCACATATATAGTCGTGATTCTTCACTTTATTTGCGAGGACTACTCCTGATAAAATATATGCTAATTAAGTTCGCATCATGTTTAGCTTAGCTATGCTTTTAATATTCTCAAATGTTGATATTTGCTCATTTGATGCTTCATTTTCTTCAAGAAAAATTTTAACAATATATTTTAATACGTGTAGGATACATTTTATCATTGATGGATAAACCAAATTTATTAAAAATTACAAAATGTATATGCATAATTTTTAATTAACTTAAGAGTTTTATTTATGATTTTTTTTTCACTTGAAATCAGTTTTATAGCTTACCAATATTAAGCATTGGAGCACACGGTTGGCTTGTTTAGACCAATAACGCAGTTAACTGTTGATACAAAGAGGAATGATACGATGATATATTTATTTGATTTGACACACGTTATAAAAATAAAATCATCATGAATTTTTGTGTTTTTTTAAAAATAAAATAAAAAGTAAAAAAAATTATTAAATGTAAAAAATTTACATACGTAAAAATATATTTTTTTCATGAAAAGAAAAGTTGAGAAAAGAAAAAGTAAAACCAAGAAAAGACACCACGATATTAAAAGCTTTTTCTTTATATGGAATCAAAGGTCACGTTTACAGGTATCTATTTGATTCTTATAGCGGCCAAAGCCATACACCAAACAGGAAAGAAAAGAAATATTTGTATGACAAAAGTAAGTGTCTTATATAGTAGTAATTTTAGCAACCCCAGAGGGTTAAACACTGAGAGGGTCTTAAAAGTTTCAACTTTCAAGCCAGAATATTCCCATTGATCGTGTTCTTCATGGTTTCAAATCGAGGACCCTTTTCACCAAACTTGGTGCTGCCGTAGAGCTTCAGATAGTCACCATAAAGGAAGTTGCTTGGGTACAAGAGCTTAGGAGCAGGTGAAATAATGGCTTCTCGAATGGGGTTGTAAAAGGTGGCAATGGAGATTCTGCTTCCATTCTTGTCAGGCAGGACTCTATGCACCACACTTTTGTATATGCCATTGCTCAACACTTCCACTTGTTCACCCGTGTTGACAAAAATGGCATTGTTCTTGGAGGGTGGAATCTTCACCCATTTGCCATCTTTGCAGAATTCTAGACCCGGCACTCTGTCATCTTGGAGCAGTAGAATGATGCCACCAGCATCTGTGTGTTCTCTGAGTCCCCTCACAAGTTCTGGACGTGGACATTTAGGGTACTTTGCCACTTTTGTTCCCACAGCAGGACCATCACCATCACTTCCAGAAAATGCTTTCTTCATGTAATCCTTCTGCAGACCAAGATTTTCACTCATCACCTCAGATAGCTTCTCTCCCACCTTCACCAGTTGTTCAACGTACTCATCCATTGCGTGCCTGCGTTTAAGAAACAGTACGTGGAATGTAAAACTTTTTCTCATGATACTGGGATGGTAGAAAGAGTGTTAAAGAATGTGTTACCAGAGTTCCTGAGAGATGTTAGGAATTTCATTGATGCTGGAAGTGGGTCGATGCCAAACGAAGAAGGAACTTTCCCAATCTATATCAGAAGCATTCTCTTGTTTCTCCAACCTCTTTGCTATCCCAGATTGGTAGAAGCTTTCCTTCAGGTTTTCCTCATAGTATGTATTGATCAACTGCTTCACCTTCTCCATCAATTGTGTGTCAATTTCATGGTTCTCAACCTGCATATATATATCCAATAATTGGAGGAATGAAGAAGAAGAAGAAAACAAAAGGGACTAATTATTAACATCTTTTTCATTTTCTATACCATAAAGAAGCCCCATTGCTCACAAGCTTTGTGCAATAGCGCCATTGTGTCACCCCTCTTGTCTCCATTGAGCTCACTGAAATCTATCACAGGGATCTCCATTACTAGATACTCGATGTTTCTGTGTTGAAGGTATATGTTACAGAAATGGGGTATTTATAGGGTATTTTAAATATATTCTAAGGGAAAGGATGTGATCATGTACATCTTTTACTCTTCTATGCCAATGGTCAACAGATTTTCCCTTTGAAATAAAGTTTTTCGTTCTTTTCTTCTCAAACGAAAACTTCACCTTACGTTAAGTCGTCGTTTTGATTTACACAAAAATATCTTAACTGACGTTTACTTTCAACTAGAAGCTTTTTCTCATGTAAATCAACAACTCATCAAGTGAATAAAAAGTTATGTATATTAAACCGAACACTTGCTACAATGTTCAAAAGGAATGTGGGTGGATCGAATCAAAGCAGTGGGCGGTTTTGGCTGAATGCTGCAACATGATATTACTGATTACGATGAAGATCACACACTCTCCAGTGTTTATTTTATTGCATCTTTTCGATTCTAGGTGATTTAGCTATGCATCATGCATGACATAATGATCAAATTATTACAGTATTCCAAGACTTTTTTGGGTTTTTCTGGGTTATAAGACAAACATGTTCATTTTAAAGAGTTTAGGTCGCACACGTAGAAAATGAAGAATATATTAAGAATCTGACGATATATTAAGAATCTAGGAGACAGGTTTCATAAGTTTCTAGCTCAATCTCCACAGTAACAGCGAATATAATCTGACGATATATTAAGAATCTTGGCTGCTTGCTTGGTCATTGTTTGCCGACTTTGGATCCTATTTTTGCTTTATATATGTATACTAAAAAAAATTATCATTTTACATCACCTTTTTCTATTACTATTACTTTACCATTCATTTTAATTATAAAATGTTACATTTCGCTGATAAAAGTAAATATAAATAAAATAATAATATTTATGATTGTTAAATAGTAGTGTAGAAAAATATAGCCTGAAATTTGTTAGAATTTTAATCATATTAATTCATTGTTTTAATATTTTGGACATAATACTATCAATCTTGCGGGTTCAATTTTCACCGTGTCTCACTGATAATAACAATATAAAAAGGATAATGATACTTTGACAACATTTTTTTGACAACATTTTAACATCATCTACGTGTCATGTTGTGATTGGTCCAAAATTATTCCATAATCAATAATAATAATCATAAACACTAACATGGACCAATCACAAAATGACACGTAGATGATGTTAAAATGTTGTCAAAAAAATGTTGTTAAACTATCATTATCCATATAAAAAAAAGGTTTTAAAACTTTTTGTTTCCACTTTTTGACAGCAAATAAAGTAGGTGTTCTTATAAATTGTTTAAAAAATATTAAAAATCAATTCTTTCTGTAAAGAAAACTTCTTCAAGACCCTTTTATTTTTTAACTTTCTACCCGTTCACTTCTTTCATTCACATTAACTAATTATATATTATGTATTCAATGAATTTTATTCACAATATTCCTTTTTTATAATAATATGTATTACTATTTAAAAAAAATTGAGAAAATCATATTTTAGATTGTCAAGTGATTTTTTTTTTGTAGATAAAGATATCACCGATTACCGCCTATATTTTTTTTACTAGAGCTTCAAGATATTACTTCATTATCGCATAGTAGATAAATATTTTTTTATAATTTTAGAAAATTTTATTGTGAATGGTAATTCATC